TGATGAAGGGTTGAGGGTACTGCCCTCATACTATGTATCCACGGCCTTCCAAGTAAGGCATTGTATCTCATGTTACCTTCGATGACATGAAACTTGGTATCTTGGATTGTTCCGGCTACGTTGATCGGGAGGATGATTTCCCCTTTTGTTGTCTCGCTCGCCATGTTGAATCCATTGAGTATTTAAGAGCTGGGTATGATCTAGTCGAGCAGTCCGAGCTGCTCCACCACCCTCGACTTGATTATGCTGGCCGAGCTACCTGGATTCACGAGCACGAGTTTAATCTGAATTTTATTCAAAAGAAAAGAAATTACCAGTGCGTCATTATGAGGATGAGACAAGGTCTTGTTGTCCTCTTCACTGAACTTGAGAGCATCCTCTGGTATATAACTCCGAGTTCGTCTTCCCCTAGTGATGGATATTTTTGTCCGTTTGAAAACGGGTTCCTATGGGGCGCCGACCCCTCCAACGATCATGTGGATGACGTGTTGTAGTTCTTCTAGTTCATTTTTTCTGTTCGCCTCTCTTTCCCGAAATTTGTTTTAGCTCGGTCGCTGAGGAATTCTCGAAGGTTCCCCTCGCTGATCAGTCGGGCTACCTCCTCTCAAAGCTACCTGCAGTCCTCGATCCTATGACCGTGAGTGCCGTGATATTGACACACCAAGTTAGGGTTCCTCTGTGAAGGGTCTAATAGTACGGGTTTTGGCCACCTGGCATCTTTGATTTTCCCTATGGCTGATACGATGCTCGAGACATTGACGTTGAAGTTGTACTCAGATAACTGTGGTGCCTCTACCGGCCCAATATGCCTATCGAACTCGGCTTTACTCATGAGTCCCCGAGTGTATTAACCCTGATCTACCCTTCGATCGCCTCGAGGCATGTTATGCCTTGGCGCGTTTCTTCGATCTTCTACATACGGCTAGTATCTTTCTTTGTTTGATCTTGGCTCCCTTTTCGTAAACCTTTGCTCTTTTGTAAAGAGCCTGCTGGGATATACTGAGCCTGAGGGGGCTCCTAGTTGGTCGTCTTCGACCCTGATCTTTGATTGGTACTTGTTGTGCACATCCGCCCAGGTCACAACGGGATATTCGATCAACTTTTATTTTAATTGCCTTGAAGCTACCGAGCTACGTTCGTTCAAGACTTGAGTGAAGGCCTGCACTGCCCAGTTGTCGGAGATTGGTGGTAATTCCATTCGCTCCATCTAAAAGCGAGATACAAATTCCCGTAGCATCTCGTATTCTCTTTGTTTGATTTTGAAGACATTGGACTTCCTTGTGGCAACCTTGATGGCACCAGCATGCGCCCTCACAAAAGAGTCTGCCAACATGACGAATGAATCAATTGAATTCGGGGGTAGGTTATGATACCACATCATAGTCCCTTTTGATAGTGTTTCTCCAAATTTCTTCAACAAGACAAACTCAATTTCGCCGTCCTTCAAGTAGTTCCCTTTTACAGCACAAGTATAGGCGGTAACGTGCTCATTGGGGTTCGTGGTCCCGTTATACTTCAGGACATCAGGCATTCTGAATTTTTTCGGATGGGCTTCGGAGTTGCACTTGATGGGAATGGCCTCTGCACGAGCTTCTTTGAATCTATACCCTTCAGAATCGGGGGTGCCCCGGGGATCTGGTCGACCCTCGAGTTATAAGTCTCTACTCTTTTATCATTATCTTCTATCTTCTTTTCTCCTGATTCAATTCTTTTGGTGAGATCCTCGAGCATCTTCATAATAGCGGGGTATGTTGCTGACCCGTTGTTGCTCGATCTCTCCGATATCTGCTCAACTCGAGGAGCTGTTTCTGGTGCCATTATGCTTGGGGTTTTTTGTTGACTTTGCAGCTGAGCAATAGCCACTTGTTGTGCTTGCAACATTTCAAAAATGACTTGGAGGCTGACTCCTCCTTCTTCCATTCCTCGTGCTTCTTGGCCTCCATCCTGGTCTTCCCTGCGGCCGTTCCTCACAGGGTCTGCGCCTGCTTCTGTGTTTAGAACGTTGTGGGAGCTGACATCAATTGGCTCCACGTTTGGTACTCCCTCAGGGTTTACAGGTGGTACACCCAGCCCTATGTTGCTATTTTCTCCAAGTTCTTCACTGTTGTGAAGAGGTGCATTTTGTGTGCTAGTCATAATTAAGCCTAAAATAAAAGAATCTTTGACAAGAAAAAGTGTGAAGAGTAACGTGTGTTATCAGAAAACTAAGCACCAAAACAATCACTATTATTTTTAGCCCCATGGTGGGCGCCAAACTGTTTACCTTGAAAATGGTAACTACAATTATTATTTGATTTTGTGGTTCTAAAAATATGTGATTTATTTTAATATTAGTTGTTGAGCAATAGATGCTAAGTGTAAATGAAGAAGATAAGAAATGCAAATCAATAGAGTTACAAAGTTGGGCCTTGAGCTGGCTGGAGTAGGGCCTCGAGGTCTAGAAAGGCTAATAGCAATGAGCAATTGATGAAGGATCAATGATAATGAGGGACTCAAAGATGGCTTTTTGCGGTTAATAATGAACAATAAATGAAGAACAATAAATGAACAATGAAAGAATAAGCAATAAATGTGTAGAATAATAGTGTAAGCAAAGAGCAGGGAAAGCTGTATTGTATTCAATATGAGTGTATTCAATGATTATCCGTGAGAGCTTACAAGATGATAAGGATCCCCTTTTTATAGGAGGGGTGAATCTCAACACAGTACATGGCTAATAAATGACGAAGAAATGCTACTAATACAGCTGTATAACGGCTCAGTACAGATTTATACTATTCTTGCAGACTCTGTCAGTCATCATTGTGTGCCCTCGGGGTTTCCCGCATTTCCATAACGGACATTGATTTTTATACTACCTCGAGGTACACCATGGTGAGTCTTCGACGTACTCTGCCGAGGCAAGTGCTTCGAGAATGGGCCGTGAACCGTGTTTTGATCTCAACAAGGTCGGACTTGAACTGCTTCGAAAACTTCAAATCGGTCTTCTCTGATTTTGACCGTATACACTTGCAAAGAGAGAGAAGGAAATGTGATAATTGTTTATATAGAGGGAACAACTATAACTCGGTTTCCACATTGACATGTTTGGTCTTTCCTATTAACTTTACATTTGGATATTTGGCAAATAAAAAATCCGAATTAACACGACTTACCTAAACACCTACTTCCTTGGTTCAGATTTGCAAATGCAAGGGCATCCATAGCTGATAGCACCTGTAATATCTCGAACTTATTTTGCCATTTGAAGCATCAGCTTCTTCAGCTGGGGAAATTTGTACCTGATTTTGCATTTAAGGGTGTGGTTTAATGGTCGATGAAGTAGGTTGAGAATTATAAGGTTTCAGGTTCAAATCTCAACATATACAAAAACAATAAATAATCTCTTCTCATCTGTCCAAATCTTAGTGGATAGAGTTACCTGATACATATTCTAGTAGGAGATAGCAGATGCCCCATGAATATAAAATTCATCTAGGTGTGCACAAGCTAATCTGAACACCATAATTATTAAAAAAGAATTATTCATTTCAATATTTATTCCAAACAAATAAATGCACATAGCATTCGATCACTTTACCACGGTTAATTAATATGTATTCTAACCTTATTCAAAATCATGATAAGTTAATATTATGCGGGTAAATATTTACCTTCGAGCCTTACCTACAAAGGACAGTCCTGCCTAAACGAGTGTAACTCGCACTTGTAATTATTGTTCATCATCCAGTATCCCTTTAGAAAGTCATCACTTAAACTCCACTGCCAAGCGTGCACAGGTCGATATTGTGCCAAATTTATTAGACTGCTTAATCAAATTATTCAGGCCATGAGAACGAGTGATTATTCAACTTTCCTAAAGAGTAATTATATAATTGGAATTTGGAGCAATATTCTTTCTTATGTCTAACTAGAAGTAGGGGTGTTCATAAAAATCCGAAAAACCGAACCAAACCGACCAAAAAAACTGATATTTTTTGGGTTGGTTTGGTTTTGGTTTTAATAAAAAAAAAATCCGAACCAAACCGAATATAGGAGTAGCTATTTTAAATTTAGAATTACACATATATGTATGTATACTTTTATACAAAGTTTCAAAAATTTTATAGTAAATGTTAATCGTTTGCACTTTTAGTGCATTTCTTTACCTTTACATTCTAGTTTGATTGGTAGTTTTCTTTTGTTAAGTGTAAGAATCTATTTCATGTTAAAAATAATATATTTTTAATTGAGTCCTTAAATTATTCATCACTATTTGATTCAATTATTATCAATATATCTTGGTAAATAATAGATTTCTCAAAGGGCAATTGATTTGATAATATTGCGTTAAAAATGTGGTCGCCGAAATATGTATTTGGTAGTGTATGTTTTACATTAAGAAAAAAACCGACAAATAACTGAAAAACCGACATAAACCAAATCGAGAAAAAACCGACTTAATTGGTCTGGTTTGGTTCTAATATTGAAAAAAACCGACTTACTTGGTTTGATTTTTTTTTAGGAAAAAACCGATCCAAACCGAATCATGAACACCCCTAACTAGAAGCAACCAATTTAGAGCAGATACTCAAAGTAATCCGACATAGATAGTGCACGACTGCATTCGCTTGGAAAAGAGAGGAACTTATTATAGGCCACATTTTCTGTATATCTGCAGCAAAGAAAATTCTAAACAGATATGACTTCAAAGCAAGTCCCGCTATAATGCACTCGACATTTGAAGGGAAATTGTTAATTCATCTTTTTTCCATTTCAAACAAGTGAAAATTAGATTTTCTCGCTTTACATTGTATAATTAACTCAAGAAATACATTTTCCAACTTAATCCAAACTATGGCGTACAAAGAACCACAAGGAAAACTAGGCTACGGGCACATAAGTTAACACATATTGTAACACCAACAACCCTGAAATCTTGGATACTTAATATTAAACTGGATAGGACGCGCAGATTAATAGGATATTAGGATTAAACAAATTCAACTCTCAAGCAAGAATCAAAGTGAAAAATTGCCACCCACTACATTGCAGCCATTCAGTTGTAAAACCAAATCTACAAACTTCGCAGATAGATTCAAAAACAAACAAAACATTATAGGGAACTCCATGAGTAAAACTAGCCACATCTAATTAGATTTAAATTTTCAGTATTACTCAGAAGTGATAAACAAAACACTAAGAATGTAACTCCACTAAGCGCAAGCCACAATTTAAGTCTTAACTAGTAAATGAAGATCCTTCCATCAGACATCCTTGATTAGGTATAAAGCCTTCCAGAGCATCCGACGACCTTGATCTTATCATCTACTCCGTGATGCCTCACTGCACATGTAAATAGACAATAACATCAAAAAGCATTCAAATAATGTCAACATGTAGACAAATGTAAATGAAAAGCCACAAGAATATCTAGACAACCACCATTCAAGAGCCTATAGACTTTTGTTGTCAAAACAACCTGAAGTAACTATGTCATTGAGCACCAAAGAACAGGTTAGATTCTTCTACCTTAGATATACGAAACAGCTAACAAAGATAGCATCATACAACTGAGAACCATATCCTTTTGATAAGCCAGAAGTAATTTTATTGAAGAGACCAATCGGTACTCATATACAAAAGAGAAACTAACATCAATCAGCCAAGAAATATCTACTCACTCAAGTACTATATCAAACTATCTACTTACTACCTTTTTCTGCAATAGTGTATTTCCCTTAGCATACCCCCTAAGTCTTAGAAAGCTATTCCCTTACCTCTTTCTGCCATAGTGTATAAGAATCCTTGCATCCTCCTCTCAACAGGCTGGACCTCAACTGTCCACGGATGATGTCCTGGTGTAGTGTTTGTAACATATGCAACCTTCTTATTTATTTCTCCGACTGAAAACATACACATCAGCCACAACTTCCAACTTAGCAGATGAATATTGTTGTACATTCATGTTCTAGATCCCTTGGCATTGGTGCTGCCCCTAAAGTCTTACACACTAACCACCCCTTACAACTTAGCAGATGAATATTGGATGTGCATTCAGTTCTACCATGTGTATATTCCTTGGCTCGATGTTGCCCCTAAAGTCTTACATATGTTATTCATCTATCGGGAACCTACCACCCTCTTTTCAACCAAGGCATCCATCTCTTATGCATTCAACCCAGGTGTAACCACCTATTTACCACTACATATGCCACCTGGTATGGCCCCTCACCCTCTAGTGGTTTTGATTTACTTGATCTGTGCCAGACATAGCTACCAAGATTTTGGCCAAAAATTTTCACCACATATGATACCCACTTATTATGAATAACAATTCGAACAGTACCAATAAAACCTTCTCTTCCACACTATCATGTCCAAAACTGGATCATAAATCATTTCTGCTAAAACATTGATACTTGTAAGATCTAACAAGTAACATCTGTATTGTGCGATCACTACCTTCACAATGCAGGGTATCTTAGGCAGCCAGAACCTAACAAACATGCCAGGAGCGCTAGAGAACAGATAGATAGTTCCTTTCTCCCAACTAGAAAACAGACAATGGATACAACAAGGGGTCATCTAGTTTTGAGGTTTGAAAATGTCTATATCACAAAACTCTGCATTATTAATTGGGCGTTTGGTTGATACAATTGTTTCCTACGCCTAACTTATGCAAGTAATATCCAGATTATTTTGTGCCTAAGCTGATGAGGAATGACCAGAAATGTATTAAATAACATCAATAACAAAAAAAATCTTTAAACCATTATCTATTAGCTAATCATCTCTCACATATTAATTCAGTTATTCCATCTTTTATCAGCACAGCTCATTTTGGGTTTCCTCTCAGATGTTCTTATTTGATATAATTAAGAACAAAGTTTGTCACATACTTCTCATTATTTTAAAGCAAGTAATTACTTTTATCACATAATGACAATAAAATCAGTACTAAGTTTGATGAAGTGATTAATATAGGCCAAGGGTCAAATACATAGAAACTTAAGCACACAATTTAATGGACACGGTGTCAGTAGAAAACACTAACATAAACACATATGATTCAGTTAAAACAGTGGACAAGCAAAGAGGCTACCTTATATATTGCTTGGGTACATGAAAACCCTGACCTTAGATCCCTGAAAGAGTTACAGAAAGAAAATAACTCAGTTAATCAGAACGAAGAAACTACCAGTCAAATAACACTGCAATTAAATACACAAACTACGAATAACAGAAATGTACCATAGACTTAGGTGGCAAGTTAGAGTTGAACTTAGCTCTGACGACGCCGCTGTTTCCATGAGGCCTGCAAACCTTACCCCAAATGCAGCGATAGTGAGAGTTGTTCTTCTTTGTCTTAGCCTTGTAGATGTACGCCATGCGCTTTCCGAGGTACCAATCCACTTCCTCTTTAGTGTTCACTCCCTCGATCTGAATCAACGAAGTGCTTGGGTACTGGTTCGATTTCGACCTAACACACAGATTAAACAATTTTAGATACTCAATCATCTGAATCGACATTAATCTTCAGATAGTGAGAGTAAATTACCTTTTGTATCCGAGAACGGTTCCTCTGACATAGAGTCTACAGACAGAAAAAAAAAACGGTGTGAAAAATAAGATTGAGCAGGTGAATGTAATGGAGGAAGTTTAAGAAGATTCAATACCTGATGCGCTCTCCTTGGCGTCCTTTCACCATTTTCGATTCAAGGGGATAGGGTAATGGGGGATACGGCGAACGACGGAGAAGGTCTGCAGAGAAAAACTTAAAACCCTAGGAGTACTCGTTTTAAAAGAGAGCTATATATGTGATCTGCTGGCGTTTGCATTTGCTCGATAAATGGGCTGGAGGCCCAGTTCGATTCCTAGGGTTTCAAAATTGGCCGCTCGGCCGAAAATGTTTTACAAGAATAGCCGGCCGAATTTACTATTTGTTTTTGANATATATATATATATAACTGTGTATAATATATGTACACTGACTAGAAAAAGTAAACGTTAAATTTGACCGGCTATTTTGTGTAACAATCCTTTTTTTTAATCGATTTACATAAATTATATATTGATTATACATGGTTATACATATATTACACATGAATTATACATATGTTGGCTATTTTTAGTTTAAACAGTTAAGTAACCGCTATTTAAGTTAATTTTACCTTCCTATACTACATATGAAACTTTATTACCCTCCATAATCAAGTTTTAACTTAATTACATGTGCATGTTCAATTTACCAATTATACAAATTAGTATTAATGAATATCTCTTTATATTATGAGTTGAATAGGGAATCCTCATCTCTGCGCTCTCTCTCTCTCGTGTCTCTCTTTCTCTCTCTCCGTCTTTATCTCTTTCTCTCCTTCTCTGTTCTTTTCTCAATGTTTCTTCCTTCGTTTTTTCTGCTTTTTGTCCTCCCCCCCCCCCCC